ATTTGAAGAACACTGCAATGAGAAAAGCTGCACACTTTTTAAACAAATCATCCAAGTCCAAAAACTAATTAACTATTTTTATGTATTTACATGCAGTGTTTATATAATTCTTATTAGATGGATTATTGAGCATGCATTAGGAAATTCTTATTAAACTTATTGCTGTTAATAAAAGCAAAACAAAGTTTTTTTTTTTGGCCTGATTGACCCATGTCTTTGTTGGATACCTTATCCTGAAGGAAGAGCAGAACATTTTGTGGACCGATGGCCAAAGCCTTGTCCAGGTAGGAGACGAGCTGCTGCTGTCCAACAATGAGACCTGCTGCAGGAGGAGACTGACGAGGAAGGGAGACCCTTTAAAGCAGAGGTCAGACGGGATTATGAATCTGAAAAAAAATGTATTTTTTCTACATGTTCAGATATGATCAATTACACATTGGGGAAACTAAACAGCCACTGGCTAAAAGGTTGGCCCAGCACAGAGGAGCAACATCATCTGGCCAGGACTCTGTGGTCTACAATCATCTGCAGGCCAGCAGTCACTCCTTCAGGGATGAAGATTTTCACATCCTTGATAGAGAGGAATGCTGGTTTGAGAGAGGAGTAAAGTAGGTCATCTTTGTGAAGAGAACTTGCCCAGGAGCATTAAACTATCCCAGAAAAGTGGAGGTTTGATTCTAACCCTGTTACCAGTTGAAGTGTCCATGGGTCAGTTCCACACTAAGTTTTTCACTGGTCTATGACTGTTGGAACTCAAAGTTGTAGAAAATTGCATATGGCTGTTGGCTTATCTGTTGCAGTCTCACTGAAATCTGAATCATTTTCTTTTGGCTTTTCCCTCTTCAAGAGTCTCCACAGCAAGTCATCCTTCTCCATCTCACTCTGTCACTCCATGTTCTCTCTAACTGCATCCATATATCTCCTCTTTGACCTTCCTCTTTGTCTTTTTCCTGGCAGCTGAATTTTTAACATCCTTCTACCAGTATACCCACTGTCCCTCCTCTGGACATGTTCAAACTATCTCAGTCTGGTCTCTCTAACTTTATCTCCCAGTTGTTCAACCTGTGCTGTACCTCTGATGATCTCAATCCTAATCTTATCCATCCTTGTCACTCATAAGGAGAACCTCAACATCTTCATTTCCACCACTTCCTGTTCTTTCTCCTGTCTTTTCGTCAATGCCACTGTCTCCAGACCATACAACATAGCTGGTCTCACTACTGTCTTGTAAACTTTTCCTTTGACTTTTGCTGACACTCTTTTGCCACAGATCACTCCTGAAACTTTTCTCCATCCACTCCATCCTGTCTGGACTCTCTTTTTCACCTCTTTACCACACTCCCCATTTTCCTGGACACTTCAGCCCAAGTACTTGAAGTCCTGCACCTTTGTGACCTCTGCTCCTTGTAGCCTCACTCTTCCACTGGTCTCCCTCTCAGTCACCCACATGTACTCTGTCTTACTATGGCTGACTTCCATTCCTCTTCTTTCAAGTGCATACCTCCACCTCTCCACGTTCTCTTCCACCTGCTCCCTGTTCTCACCACAGATCACAATGTCATCTGCAAACATCATAGTCCACAGGGATTCCTGCTTGCCCTCATCTGTTAGTCGGTCCATCACCAGAGCAAACAAGAAGGGGCTTACAGCCGATCCTTGATGCACTCCCACCTCCCCTTTGAAGCTATCTGTCATTCCTACAGCACATCTAACCAGTGTCCCGTTTCCTCATGCATGTCCTGAACCAGTCTAACATACTTCTATGCCACTCCAGATTTCCTCATGCAATACCACACCTCCTCTCTCGGCACTCTGTCATATGTATTTTCTAAATTCACAAAGACACAATGAAGTTCTTATTAATCCTCTCTGTATTTCTCCATCAACATACTCAAAGCAAAGTTGGCATATGTGGTGCTCTTTCTCAACATGAAACCATACTGCTACTCACAAAATTACCTCTCGTCTAAGTCTTCAAAGTGCATTCAACTTAATTCAGTCTTGATGATTTGCGTCAACAAGAGTAGCAGCATTTATAGTTCTATGAGCATTTGGAGTTTTATACATAAAATACACTTGATAGTTAGAATTTTAAGTATATTTACTGTATATTATGGTAATTTATTCTGTAGTTTGCCAGATTATGGTGATTCTAGGGTCGTGATGATGGGGCCCTTAAAGATTGTTGCCCAGGATACAGTAAAGTGTTAATCTGGCCCTGGCCGAAAGAAGAAGAGGAAAAACCCATAGAGACGTGTGTGGGTCTGTTATACACATGTGTGATACGAGGTACGTAAAGTCCCTGCAATGTCCCGGACAAGCAACGAATAAGTAAATAAATGAAAAAACGTTTTTTTTTTTCTTATACACAATGTTCATCTGGAAAACTACAAACATTCATAATTCAAAACCCCTCGGTTCTCCTGACCCGGCCTTGAGGAACCGGAGTCTGGTACCGTGATGTGTCCTCACCCCTCGCTGGTCCACATGATGAGAGGCACCTGCTCATCGCACCGACCCACACCGAAGCACCGGAACACACCGAGCACGGTGAAGAGGGCGACACAGACGCGCTGCAGCTTATCCGACCCGGACGCCATCTTTCCCTCTCACACAGCAGAAGGTGACGTAAATGACGTCATATGTGATCACGTGACTGTCGGGCGACAAACCGTCGCTTGTCTTTGCGCACAAATTATTTATTTGTTTGAAATTCACCCTTTCTGTGCAGTGTGCGTGACAGTGTGTGCAAAATATCTTGTGAACCACTGGATACGTGCATGTACCACTGATTAACAACCTTAGCTTTCACAATAAAAGCTGTAATTCAGCAAAACTTTACAATAAAAGCTGAGCCTGTTGGACATATATTGAGCTGAAGTCTGATGTGGTCATAGCTGAGAGTCAATCACAACACATCTTCTGAGTATGACTTCTCCCACTGATGCATGAGAGCCATGAATCCCCTGAAGAAGAGAGCAACATGCCAATGGGGACAGAATGCCAATTTATATTGACAATAAAGTCCATGCTCAATAATCCAGGTATAAAATCCAACATTTTTCAGTCAGGTCATCTGGACAGTTTTTTTTTGTGTGTGTGTGTGTGTGTGCTGAAATGTTTCGCCTTCAATCTGGAAGGCTTCATCAGTCAAGGAAACACACAACAAAACTGATTCTTCCTCCAACAGCTTACTCCAAAGTGGAACAAACCAGTTCTGCTTGTGATAAGATGGTCTCTTTGGTACGCCCCTCCTCCATTGACAACCCTCTTCCTTGTTGACAGTCTTGTCAAACTGGTTGAAAACAACAAAGACCAAAGTGTTGTTGTGTGTTTCCTTGACTGATGAAGCCTTCCGGATCGAAGGCGAAACGTTTCAGCACAAAAAAAGTAACTGTCCAGATGACCTGACTGAAAAATGTTGGATATATTGACAATGATTGATTTATGACAATCATCAACCATCCAAGAGTGAATACTTTTTATAAGCACTGTAGATCTATAACTGATTAACTTTTGGAGTCAAATCAAGATGGATGCCATGCCACAGCTAACCCAACACAAAAGTAGCTAGAACAGTTTGTTTCATTTGGCTGCTTCCTTCTATAGGGGTCACCACAGCAAGCAAACTCAAACAGAGACTGGTAGAAAGCTGTGACAGCAGACCCCTTTGATCAAGATCCACTATTAATCAAAACTTAACCAGAAATTTCTCCTGTTGTTGAGCCAGCCAGTTCCGGGAGGCCCAAGGTCCACTTCCACCTACTTGACTCAGACCTGAGCCAGCGTGCGATCCTCGAAGATCCTCTGGATGAATTTGATTTTAAACTGTGCTCTGCCTTGGTGGGAAGGATCAGTGGTGTTGTCTACATTTTATACTGGGTATACTGTGCTTAGAAACCGAAGTACACCGGTTAGTACAATATACTTGTCAATTTATTTTGATTTTTAAGCATATTGAACATTTCTAAATTTCTCTGATGCTTATATTCAATTCAATTCAATTCAAAAATCCCAAAGGGAGATTATTTGTTGTTGTAACTCGATATCCTCATTTCATTAAGAGATGTTATAGATACTGATGGGTGTAAGCAGGAAGGATCTCTTGTAAAAGTCCATCCCACAGTGGATCCTAAGAAACTTGCTGCAGATGCTTTCCGATCTGTCCACCCAGACTCGGCTGGCCTCTCGGTTCCCCCGGGCTGTAGGATCGCCCAAATGCCGGGCCGAGCTCCTCGTCGCTGCGGACAGCCAACTGTAGGTACCGAGGGACGATCCTGTCTTTCTGCTGTCATGAGCTGTGTTTCCTGCTAGTTCCAGGATCTCAGTGGTCAGGCACTCGAGCACAGCTGGCAGGTAGATGAGAATGCATCCACAGAACATCCTTTTCAACTCATTTGAGATTTTGGGCTGTATTTGAGATATTATTTGAGCTTTTGAGATGTTGATCAGCTGCTGTTGGTTGTAGAAAACTCCCTTGTTGTCATGGTTACACATCATAACAAATGTCCAAAACTAAAAAAGTTTCAGTAAAAATCCTTCCAGCTGCACAGCATCCAATACCAGAGGAAACAATCATCCAAAAAATGTGATTTTTCAAATTATTCAAATGTGATATTTGAATAAATGTATGACAAACCTTGTACATCAGTTGGCTTTGTATTAAAAACATGTTATAGAATTTATAAAATGGTATCAAAGCAAAACATGTTCAAGTATTAAGTAAGTACTGAAGTATTAATTATCCAAAAACAGGTTGAAACAACTCAATTTGTCTTTAAAATGCTCCAAATGTGTTGACAATGACACATGCCCAAAATTATGTCACATATCATTGGAAACTTTTAAGTGGGTATATTGAAATTCCCATGCTTTTCTAGTGGCTATACTCTGTATACTTGCGTATCACATAGACTACACCACTGGTCAGGATGCCATCGACTTGTCTATAGATTAGCCAGAGGAACACCCAGACAACCCTCTCTCATGTTACGATCCTTCTAGCGGAAGGAGGCGACACAGGGAAGGTCCTGGCCGTGTTCCTTACACTCTTCTGCACGTGCCCTTTACCAAATCAAGAACCCAGAAGAAAAAAGTTAAATATATCTCACCAGAACTGAGGTATCACCCAGGAGCCTCTGTTTCAGTTTTGTGCATGCAGACAAATATTTTATGAAAAGTGAAAAATATATAAAAGGTGTGCACGTCAGAACTGAAATTCAGTGTAGGTTATAAATCAAAAGGGAAAAAAATCAAACATCTACAACATCATTCTTACACAGCTACCACCTCTTTATCTCTGCCATATAAACATTAAAAGACAAAAAGAAGAAATTTAACTAAGATAAATGCCGGTCCTGTACCCTCCCACCACCCCGGGCCTAAATGACCAAAGGGCCATCTATCGTCCAAGCCCAAAAGCAAAAAGCCCCAAGAACCTCAAAAAAGTCCCCAGAACCCCCCCCAACTCTCTTGTGCTTAAGCTTTTTATAATCTACTGTCATAATTATGTATACACAGACAAAACATTTATACTCCTCCTTCATGCCTTAAAGAAAGAGGACCAACTAGAATCATGTCATATTATTATGCGTCAAAGATAGGGTTACAGACATCTCCTTTCTCTAGTTATGAAAAAAAGGAAAAGTTACACTTTCTTCTTCGGCTTCTCCCTCTTCAGGGGTCTCCACATCCTTCTCCATCTCAAGTCAAGTTAAGGTTCTTTATTGTCATTCTAATCTCATGTGATACGTGTGGTGGAACGAAATTGTGTACACAAGGTCCCAGCTACATCCAACAAAAGTATAAATTGTAAAGAAAAACAGTAATAAGATTGAAGATATGAACTAAGAAATACGCTAAAACTAAGAATACACTAAGCACTAATAGTACAAAAACAGAAGCAGCACGAACATGATTGTGTGAGCAGATGAGCACAAACGAACACAGCAGCATAAAATAAATCAGCAGCATGAGATCAGCACCATGGACAGTGCAGCAGCACATATCAACAACCAGTGTCATTACAGTGATTTTTTTTCCCCCACAGTGATAATCCTGATTAGAGATTCATGAGTCTCATGGATCTCACTCTGTCCTCTGCATCCTGTGTCCTCACTCCAACTACCTTCATGTCCTCTCTAACTGCATCCATATATCTCCTCTTTGTCTTTTCCTGGCAGCTGAATTTCTAACATCCTTCTACCAATATACCCACTGTCCCTCCTCTGGACATGTCCAAACCATCTCAGTCTGGTCCCTCTAACTTTATCTCCCAGTTGTTCAACCTGTGTTGTACCTCAGATGATCTCATTCCTAATCTTATCCATCCTTGTCACTCCTAAAGAGAACTTAAACATCTTCATTTCTGCTTTGTCCAGTTCTTTCTCCTGTCTTTTTGTCTTCATCTCTATCTCCAGACCATACATCATAGCTGGTCTCACCACAGTCTTGTAAACTTTTCTTTTGACCGTCCGTGGCACAGTTTTAAGGGTAACTGGGGACGTCATGATTCTTCTTTTCAGTTTCTTCGTTTCTTCCGGTCCAACTTGTTATCTTCAACACAGTCTCTTCTCATTGGCTGAAACTGACAGCTTCCAAAATTTACAGCTTCATTCCTTCCAGGCTGATGCAGCTGTATAAGGGAAGATCTGATAAGATGACTGGTTAACAAAGATTGGTTGCCATAGGGACACACTTGGCCCATCTTGGTATGGCTCCATGCCTGGTATGGTCCAGTCCTGTGACCAGCAGGAGCAGGTTGGCCTGGGACTGACCGCTGATACTACCTGTTCTCATAAGAAGTCTGTATCAGTGGGTCAGTGATCAGTTCCTGGCTGATAAATGTGATCAGATGAAGGCTCACCATTTTTTCATCTCTCCATCTGATGTTTGTGTCAGTGTGGTCTCCTATAAAAGTAGGAGCGTTCTTCATGTTTCCACGTCTGGGCCTCCCAGGCGTCTTAACAGAGACTTGGCAATTGTTTTACACCAGATGTCCTTCATGATGTAACTCGTGACCACCGAGTTACCACAACCCACATGTGTAGAGTGCAGAGGGCTGCCATCTAGGGCACCAGGGGAAGCAGCTGGGGGGGAGGAGGAGGTAAGAGCCTTGCTCAAGGGCTCACAGTGGGAAAAATGTGGGTGGAGGTACATGTAGGTGCATCACCTTTACCACCTGAATTTCATTATGCCGGTCAGGGGATTTGAACCTGTGACCTCCTACTGCAGGCTCGCCTGCTTCAAGGCTCTCAGATATTGAGCTAAATGTGATGTAGTGGTAGGTGAGAATCATCCCACCACATACAACAAGAACAGATTACAGTAGTCCCTCGCTACTTCATGATTCGACATTCGCGGACTTGCTCTTTTGCAGTTTTTCAGTGTAAGACTGTGCACGAAACACAGTTGTCAACTTTAATATTGCTCATGTGATCGGGACAGCACAGGTTAAAAGTTAACGGGAGTGGATGGGAGCGAGAACCAACCAATAGGACAAAAACCTAAAACAAAACACACAAAAAACAAATGCTTTGGACAGGCGCCGCCATTTTGTAGTTTTTTGGGGGTTTTTTTCAAATAAGCCTACACTGTCAAAGTCAAGTCAAAAGAACTAC